CCCGACAGCAACAGCCCGCGTGAATGACAGTGAAGGATCACACACGTCCTTTGACCGAGTCGAGTCCGCCAGCGAGGAGCAGGAGTCCTAAGTGTACTTTTACGTAACTCTCCAAACTTAACGTGGATGAATCTAATCTGTCATGCAACAATACCTGACGGTCTTTGTGTCATCATTTGATTAAAAAACAACAAAAAACAGAGTCTGGTGTCCTATTCAGAGCAACAACATCTATACAGGCTTGTTTACTCATCTCACAGTTCACACAGTGAACTAGTTGAAATGATTGAAACTCTTGAACCAACTAAAATTGTACCATGTGTTGTTCCAAATAATTTAACTTCAAGTGCGGTATGTAATCATACTTTGTAAGTGCTTATAATTTAACATAATTATTCCTACCTGACTAGTAATCCTAACAAATATCAGCAGGTTGTTGAGGTTTTACATTCAAGTTGTAATCTCAAAGCCAAATGCCATGATTCTGACTCTGTTCTTCAATTTTCTTCCTACGAGGATGTGGAAAGCACTAAAGTGGAGTACATTAAGAACATTAAGGAGGAAAAGGAGGAGAAAAATTGTGGTGCACTCCTCACTATCTCCAAAGTATGACACTTTGAAAAGTTCACATTTTTTTTACTAACTTCACATTAATTAATAATATTAATATGGTCTCCTTTTAGTATAATGTTAATGACTCGTCAGATGAAAATGACTACTTGACAGATGAAAGTGATGACAATGAACTGCCTCCGTTCAGTTGGGACTGTCATTATGATACAAACAAAGCCCTAAAAAAAGAGAAGTATGTTTCCTTTCCTTAAAAAAATTCAAAAGTTTTGAGCATAGCAAAAACTGGATTTCATTAAACTTTTTTGTGCTCTCTACAGGCAACCATACAAAAAATCAAAACTTGGCTGAAAAGGCTGTGATATGGGATGTGATAAACCAAAACTTTTTCATGAATTTAAATACCACTTTGCTATCATGATTTCTGTGATCAAAATTTTGTGTCTAAAATGAAGTTATGACATTGTTTATTTAAGACTGGTATAGACTGCAAATAAATGTGAAATGAGAGAAAAGGTGACTTCTATCGGATAGAATCTATCCTAACCACTTAAATAATCAACTGTATGCACAGACTGCTTTACTAGTTCCACCGACATTTATTATTTCAGTGCACTTACCTGTATTTTGCTGCTGCAACTTTACAGTTTTTAAATCCACCCAAAATAGCAGTACAAGCAGTACAATTTATATTTTTTTTAAACACAGGAGATATTTTCGGGCATATCTCAGTTGAAAGTATTTATTTCCTCTTTGAATTCTTTTCTGCCTGAGAGAATTCTTTCCCATGGTCTCAGAATAGTTAAGGTTTTGTTTAAGACGGGAAACTTCTATCTTTTACTGACACCATAGTGGAATCTCAGTCAAATTCAGTGATAAAAAGATGACTGGAAATCACTGTTAACTTACCACAAAGCAATGCTCTGCAGAATTGCAAAGTATTTAGATTATTTGTAACTACACAGCATTTACTTTGACAATTACAAAGTGATGCTTAGCAATTGCGAAGCAATGAAACTTGCTGCAAAGTAACGTTTTGTAATTGCAAAGCATCACTTTGTAATTGTAATTGCAAAATACGCTTCGTAGCTACAAATGATCTAAATACTTCGCAGTTGTGCAAAGCATTGCTTTGCAGGAATCTAACAGTGATTAGAGAAAAGAGGTGTTCAAGCAAGGGGTAGAGGGCTGTTGAACTGGAACAGTTGTAACCAGCACCTGAAAACAGTCCCGCCTCTTGCACGACCCGGCCGCGGCTTGAGCGCAGTGTAGGAAAGCCTTCCAGGGGCTGGATCGGCCGGCCGCCGCGGAGCTGTGTCCGCCGGGCCTGCCTACGCCGGCTGGCTCCGGCGTGGAGGCGCAGGCGCTGGGTAGGCCGGCCGCCGCGGAGCTGTGTCCGCCGGGCCTGCCTATGCCGGCTGGCGGCAGGCGGTCCCAGCGCAGCGCCCGTCGGTCGCCACTGCTAGGTCCTCGGTCTTCAGGCCGGGGCGCTCTGCCTCGCACGCCAACAGGGCTTGGATTTTTAGATAGATGTTGAAGTCGTATATTTGTACCAGTGTGCGCCGAGGCGTATGCCTCAAGAGTAATAATTGTGGACAGCCCACGATAAAAAATGAAGTTCCTTGAATTTCAAAATCTGGTCTTGGGTTTGAAAGGCGTACTCCCTAGGATCCAAAACCAGGTCTTGAAATTCCAGAAAAGTTTTTTTGCCGTGTCTTGCTACTTTCCATTATCCCGCCTCCCTGCTGTTCCTTCAACCGAAAAGAACAAGACGGAAAACTTTCACGTATACACTACGGGAAATCTCTAACAGAGCAGACAGCCGAAATTCGCGCCTACTTTTCCTTGAGGAGAGCGGCGGCGTGTCACGGCGAAGCGTCCGCATTGCTGGCCGCTACACCAACTAGTCCAGTCCAATCTAAGCTTTCCGCCGCTTATCTGTCGAGTCAGGGCGAGTTTTATTTCTCGGCCTCCCTCCCCCCTCTGGGCCCGACACGACCCGACAGCAACAGCCCGCGTGAATGACAGTGAAGGATCACACACGTCCTTTGACCGAGTCGAGTCCGCCAGCGAGGAG